TCCCTTGGACTAAAGGAAACAAATAAACAGATTCATATTAAAAATTTATAAACACAAAATATAAACAAATTTACATACGCAATAATATGGGTAACATGTGATTACCAACCTCAACGATGGTAGTACGATCTGTAATCAATAAAAAGAAAAAAAAACGAAAACACGTATTAAGAACACATGGTTCAATAAGAAAGGTGACAAATATATAAAAGAAACCAAAACGAATGTTCAACCAACACAGAATCACTAACCTCAACAACGATGCGATCACCTGCAAAAAATAAAACAGGGAAGGATACAAAATATAATCTAGGTTAAAACACGGCCGTAATACAACTTAAAAGAACACAACATTAATGAGAGAGGATACGAAACACACCTCGTTAAGGTTACTTGCGGTTGGGGTGATAAATATTTATAAGAAGATCAGGGTAAAATCTAGGGTTTATTACTACCGACATTGACAAATGGGCTTCCAAACAATCAAAGACAAATTTTAGATACAACCCATAATATCAAAACGAAAGCCTGTTGGAATTTACAGGCCTATATAGGAAAAGACGTTAAAACCACATGAATATTTTATCAGCAATACAAAACAGAGGACAATTCCGTAAAACAACATTGATAGATCAAAATTTAATTAGCGAAAACTTTGAGGATTTAAATAAATAAATATGCCTAAGTACCCCCTTGAAAGTGATTGTGAAGTCGCCACGTCAGCTTTTGCACTTCGCAAATAATAGATAGATTATGGTAGAAAGTATATCCAATTTGAGTTGGACGAATATTTTTGGACTATTGCAAAAAATAAATCTTTTGCCAAAGCCCAAACCGTGAGAATTTAAAGAGGGGGCATGAATTACTACATGGGCCCAAATTTGGACCTTTAAATGGGCTTCTAGGAAAATATGTGTCGATTACTATATATACTCAATGTGGAATCGAACATTTGGAATATGATCATTTCCGAAAATATTGATTTTACATGAGAAAATGCTTTAGTGGACGGTGTCGACAATAAAAATGACCATTTTGATAGTTTTTTTTTTTTTATATATGTAAGAAATATCTAAAAATATGCAAATATGTTTACTTCGCAATGTTCACAAATAACTGTAAGAATGTGGTTAAGAAGATACATTAGCTGAGTTAGTCCACATGTTGATCTCAAAACTAATGAGAAAACTTCTGCCATTGCTGCAGATGTCCTATTTTAATTTTAATATATTGATTTCTTAAAAGAATCTGTAATTCGTGAAACGTGAGGTTAAGCAAAAAACTGTTTTGTCGCCGGAAAAACGAAAACTCTATTAGAATTATCAATTATTAGAATAAGCACGCAAAAATAAAAAAAATCTAAATTGAAAAAAAAGAAAGGGAAATTGGGTGGAATAACCCAAAAAAGTTTATAACTAAGAACATAATTAATTAACCTAAATCTAGTGTATATAATTATGTCACATACTCCTATTTTATTTAGTTCTCTAATTATTAATTTTTTTTGTCATTGAGCAAATTAACCCAAACAAAAAAGATGTTGTTTTTAATGCAGCTCCCAAGGGGCTCAGCGTCCACATCTTGCCAGCCGTGCAGTGTAAAGGCAAGGCTTACACACAAAGATGACTTATCTTCATATAAATTATTATTTAATAAAATCTACTTCTTTTTATAAATGAAAAATCCTATTTCTAAAATGCTATATTTTCTTTCCATAAATTAAAATTCTTTTTCTTTTCAAAAAAGCTAGATAGGAAAAATACAAATGGCCAAACATCATCACCAGTAAATTTGGTTGAGAAATACTCGAAGGCATTAGTAAAAATTGTATTTGGCAGCAAGAGCCATATGATATTACATATTATGGTCTATGTTATGATGGGAAATATTCGGTCCACAATCTCTTAATCAACTGGTGTATCATTCAAATAAGAAAAAAATATTTAAATTAACTGAACAAACACGTTTTTATACTTTAACAAAAAAAAACACTCAATAAAAAAGATTTGATGATTATTTACAGATTTTCCAAGTTGAAACAGATTTCTAAGATGAACCAATGAAAAACAAATTTTTTTATAAGCATTGTTATTAGATTATTTTCTATCAAATTATAAAAAAATTATGGTTATTGTTAGGAATAATTTATTAATTTATCGAAACAGTTATACACTATTTAAAAAAAGGAATCAGCGAGCGCAAAAGTAAAATCTTGCTAGTATGCGATCACGGAGGAACACGTGGAGGGTGACGATTAGATCGACCAAGAGAAAGACATGCATCTTTTGTTGAAATCTATGTGCAGGTGTGACAGGGGCCCACCAAAGAATCCGACGTGGCAAAAGGCAGACTTTGATTTAGATCCTCCAAGCCAAAACTCAAGCAAAAGAACCTTTTTGTTGACAGCCAATGGTTTTTGGACACGTCTTTGAATCCAACCTTCTTTTGCTTTTCCTTATCCAACCAAACGTACATCCATATTAGATTTTGATATGAAACTAAAATTAAAAGTTTCAGATAAATAACTTTTTCGAAAC